CGTGCGTGCGTGCGTGCGTGTGTGAAGTGTAGTGTGGCGTGCGTGCGTGATAGTGTGTATTATGCGTAGTCGTTTGCAGTTTGACGTTTGGGCGTTTGCGTTTGGCACTCGCAGGCGCAGTTGTGTGTTTTGCGTGGGGAGCGTGGCGTGCGTGTGCGTGTGTGTGTGGAGTGTGAGTGTGAGTGTGAGTGTGTGAGTGTGTGATGTAGTGAAGTGTGTGAGTGTGTGCAGTTGTGAGTGTTGTGCGATGTGTGCGTGTGTGCGTGTGTGCGTGCGTGCGTGGTGTGTGTGTGTGTGATGTGTGTGTGCGCGAGTGTGCGTGTGGTCGATGTGCGTGAGTGCGTGTGTGTGTGTGTGTGTGTGTGTGTGCGTGTGTGTGCGTAGTGTGCGTAAGCGTGCGTGCGTAGCAGAGCATAATCGGATGCTTCGCTGTACGCGTTTCACTGACATTCTAAAATATAAAATCGCTAAAAACACTAATGATTCCGCGAGTATAGCCGATAAACCTGCCTCCGTGGGGGTCTGAAGTTGCGATGAATAGAGAAGTTGCGCTACGACTAAATACTATCCCTCGCTATAGCTAATAACTAATATATAATATATAGTATATTAATATATATATACTCCTACATACATAATATATATATATATATATATATATCTATATTCTCGCAATACTTCCGCAGCTACGTACAGTATAGTTTAAACATTCACGAGGACCGGGAGCAAATTACCTCTCATTTACACGCTCCTTCTCACCCTTCTTCCTCCTCTACCCTCCCACCCTTCCCCCTGCAATTCCTTGCCGCCGTTCCGCTCTCCTTGCACTCCCCCAGCTGTAGCGGCGTTCCTTTCCCGCGGCCATCCTTCCCTCCCAGGCCTATCCTCTCCTTGAGCACTCCCCCATTAGTATGTTTCCAATGCCTGCCTCCTTTTTCGCCCTACCCAGCCTAATCCTCTCCTTAGGCAACTCCCCATGTAATGTTCCCCGCCTCCTCCCCTTCCCCTCCACAGCCCTAATCCTCTCCATTGCACTCCCCTGTAATGCTTCACCTCGCCATCCCTCCGCACTTTTTCGCCATGCCCAGCCTATCCTCATCCTATGCACATCCCCCGATGTAAAATGTTCCCGCCGCCTACCCTCCCCCCCTCCCAGCGCTTATCCCTCCTTGCACTCCCCCATGTATGTTCCCCGCCCTCCCTCCCCTTCCCTCCCAGCCTATCCTCTCCTTGCACTCCCCCATGTATGTTCCCCGCCTCCCTCCCCTTCCCTCCCAGCCTATCCTCTCCTTGCACTCCTCCATGTATGTTCCCCGCCTCCCTCCCGCCTCATCTCCTCTCCTTGCACTCCTCATGTGATGTTCGCGCACTACTTATCCCCTCTCTTTACTTCCCTCATCCCTCTCCTCTCCCTGCACTCCCTGCCTGTTCTCCCCGTGCCTTCCCGCCTCTTCTCTCCTCGCACTTCTCCTATTCCTCTGTAAGTAGAGGGAGCAAGGATCTGCTGGTAGAACTGTCGGGTGCGATGTCAGGGGTGACAGACGATACTTACTTGTCCATCTGTAGTCATTTAGCCCTCCTAATGACCCCCCATCGATATGTCAGGGAGGCCCCTCCCCTACGTCACCCCCTCTGTCTATGGTAGGATGCCCGCTATCCATGGTAGAGTGCCCCCGTCTATGGTAGAGTCCCCCGCGTTTTGCAGTAGCGTGCGTGCGCGCGTGTAGGCGTGCGCGCACACACGCACGTGCACATACACGCCGCACATGCATTTACACACGCAACGCACGCACGCGCGAATACACCACGGACGTAAAAAAACACGCTCACGCACGCACGCTCACGCACGCACGCACGCACGCACGCACGCACGCATGGTATTTATTATCTATTCTGTCCGCTACATTTGCTTCGTGCTCGTGCGTGATTGCCTTGGCTGCGTGTGTCAGCGCGTCTGTAGGCGCTGCTGAGTTGACGAGGTAAATAAACACAAGAGTACCGTCATCGACACCAGCCGTACAGCCAGCCGGCTAACGTCCTCTGCTCCTCTCTCTCCTACTCTCATGCTCGCTCTCTCTCCTCATCTCTCTCATCACACACAACGACACACAGTCTCTCATCTCTCTCTCTCACAGTCTCTCTCTCTCTCTCTCTCTCTCCTCTTTCTCATCCTTTCTCACGTTCTTGTCTCATCTTTCTCATCTCTCATGCGCTCGCCTCAGCGGATCGCACTCGGTCGTTTCATCTCTCCTCTCTCGCTCTCTCTCTCTTCCCAATTCTCTCTATTTCCATTTCGTTCTTTCTGTGTGCAAATAACGGAGATTTGCAATTCAAACCGGAGATGCGCGCCGTAGATGTCGGGCCGCGGGGGCACGTCGTCCTCATCCTGATAGATGGCTTCTGATTCAGTGTCGGAGCGAGGAGGGGGGGATGCAGATAAGATGCTGCTGCTGCTCGTGCATTGTTTCCGTCGCAGCATCCCGCGCTCCTGCTGCCGCGTCTACGACCGACGATGTCGCGCCGGACCCCCAGCTGAGACTGGAGTCTGTCTCACACGCGTCTCATATAGTCTCATATATGTCTCAAATAGTCTCATATACATCGCAAACGCATCTCATATGCGTTTCACATGCGTCTCACACGTGTGTCTTACGAAGCAATCTAGGAATGAATATAAAGGCGTGGGGAAGAACGAGGGGAGGCGCGCGCGCGCGCTCTCTCTCTCTCTCTCTCTCTCTCTCTCTCTCTCTCTCTCTCTCTCTCTCTCTCTCTCTCTCTCGCTCTCTTTCTTTGGATCAGCGCACAGCCTTCTCGCTCGGCAAAGAAGCCCTCTCTCTTTCTGCGCATGTTTTTGTTTTCCTACAGCTAGCGGGCCGCCGCCGCGTTACCGCGCGACGAAAACTCAAACCACGTTGCGAACGACGACGTTTGCGTTCGCTTACGATTAATCCAGGGCTCTCTCTCGTCTGTTGTTGAGCTATCGATGTTTTCTCTCCCCCTCTCCCGCCGCTCTCCTCCCCTAGCATCCCCGCAACATCCCCGCATCTCTCCTGTGCTGCTGCTGCTGCTGCTGCTGTCGTCGTAATGCGTGACAGACGCGGCGAGTGGAAGCAGGGAGCTGTTGTGTTTGCCCGCATGTCAGGCGTGAGTGATTACCAGTGTTTTGCTAACGCAGGAGCGAGGACGATGGGGTTCAAGCGGAGGCCGAACTACCCCGTACCCCGGTGAGGGGGAGGTGGGGGAGGAGGGAGGGGAGGTGGGAAAGGTGGGAGGGGAGATGGGAGAGGATGGTGGGAGGGGAATGGGAGAGGATGGTGGAAGGGAAGGTGGGAGGGAGGTGGCAGGGAAGGTGGGGGGGAGATGGAAGGGAAGGTTGCAGGGAAGGTGGGGGAGGAGACGAGATCAGTGGTGATAACAGAGGTGAGTTGGTAGAGAGGGAATAAGTAGAGGTGGGGAAGTGAGAGGTGGGAAGGAGAGGTTGCTGGGAAAGAAGGATGAGAGAAGAATGGTGCGGAGAATTGGGAAGAGTAGAAGTGGAATGGGGAGAGGTGGGGAAAGTAGGATAGGGGAGGAACCCGCTGTAGGTCTGAGTGGGTAGGTGGAGGGAGGGAACGTGGGAGGGGAGGTGGGGGAGGGAACGTGGCAGGGGAAGTGGGGAGGGGAGGTGGAGGAGAAGGAAGGTGGGAGGAGTGCAGACAGGGGTATTGGGATCATCATGAGAGAAGAGAGAGAGAGCTGACGGCGATAGAGAGATAGAGAGAGAGGAGAGAGGCAGGGAAAGAGATGACAGAGAGAGAGAGAGAGAGACGTGGAAGAGGGAGGGAGGAGAGAGAGAGTCAGGATTGAGAAGCGCGCGGGACTGGAGAGAGAGAAAGACAGCGCACAGAGAAGGAAAGAGGGAGAGAGACGAGAAGATGAGAAGAGAGAGAGCGCACGGAGAGAGAGAGACAGAGGGACGAGAGAGACAGCGACATGAAAGAGAGAGGAGAGCGACACAGCAGAGCCCAAGGAAGTAGGAGAGGAGGAGAAGAGAGAGAGAGAGACGAAGAGAATGAGAGAAGAAAGAGAGATGAGAAGAGATGATTGAGAGAGCAGAGTACGAGAGAGACGAGATTGAAGAGCAGCAGAGAGAGAGGAAAAGAGAGGAGAGAGGAGAGAGACGATGGAGAGTAGCAGAGAGAGAGAGAGAGCATGAAGAGAGATGAGAGAGGGCAGAGCCAGTTATGGCGAGGCGAGAGCAGCAGCAGTAGACAATCACCGCCGCCAACCCCTCCGCCCACACAAACATCATCACAACGTCGTCATTATAATGGGCACACAAGCNGAGAGAGAGAGAGAGCAGGTGAGAAAGGTTGAACAGCTGGCGTCATTAATGGTTTTCTGATACGATATGTTTTTTTCTAATAATCATACATCATTTCTCGTTTTCTATGCGTCCATGCAGGGCCTGGCATCACGTAGCCGCTGTGGGGCCAGCATGTGTGCCTGCACGATAATTTCATCAAAATTACAGTGTAGAACCGCAATAACGGAGATGGGGAAGACAATGGAAATTTATCTAACTAAAATTATGTACGCCCAGCCCTACGTGATTTTCATTGAGCGCAGTAGAGTTTCAAAAGAACTACAGAGCTGTGGAAGCGATTATTTGATCATATATTATAAATTACGGGGTACGGCGGGAAAATGTACGAGATTTGCACAATAAACACGTGGAAGTGAGGGATTTGTTTTTGCAACGTGGTTGTTTGTGCTAATTGTAATGATAACAGCAGCTGCTGCAATTATCGTTGTTATTCGTAATCTTTATTGTTTTTATATTGTTTTATTATCACTATTATCATTATTTATATATTATTGTGTTAATCTTTATCATCATCATCAGTTCATCAGTGTCGCCATCTCGGTGTGAGACGGTGTCGCTGCCGCTAGTAAGTAAGTGATTACACGTGATTATGCAGACGTTATAATTGTTGTTGTTGTTGTTGTTTGTATTACAGTCAGCATAACAGCATCACGGCCGTGTCGCCGCACACGCTGCGCAGTATCCCCGCGCTCGCTACCCTGGACCTCGGTCACAACCTGCTCGCCAGTCTCAGCTTCCCCAACGGCACGCACATACGCCAGCTGTGAGTACCGACGCTCTGGGTAGCAGGCTCACCTCTCGCTAATGGATTCCCTCGTTACTATATATATATATATATATATATATAATATATATACTATATATAATATATATATATATATATATATATATATAATATATATATATATAAAATAGAAGTCCGAAGTGTGACGTCACGTTGGCAGACAACGGTACGGGGCCTGGTTCTTACACAAGCCACTGGCCTCCATTAGTGTAGCCACTAGCTCGCTGTAAAATGTTGTTGTGGTACGTAAAACCCGAGTGTGTGGCTTGGCATGACAGCCGGTAAGGCATCGGTAGCAAGTGTTCCGTTCTTACAAATATTGAAATGAATTAAGGGGGAAAAAAATTTAGAATTTTTTTTTTTTTTTGCTAAATTTTTTTTTTTAATTTTTTTTCCCCCCCCCTCCGTTGCTTTTCACTTCCATCCTTTGGAAATCTATAAAAACTGCCAATAATGACTTTCAGCAATGATGGTTACAATCGGGCTACAAAAACACGACACGCGCAGGTTAATGTTTACCAGGAGCATATTGTATTGTGTAGAAACAGCAGGCTCGGTTGTCATGCCACCGTGACGTCATCATTCGGTACTCTATAGGTGTAGCTCGCTTGATGACCTAGCGGTTTTTCACTACCCCCGTTCATGCGTTAGCTATCTATGAATTATGGATTTATTATCTGTATATTATTTCATAATATTTATTGGTGTTTGTAATGGTATTGTAAACATGTATTATGTGTAATGAACATGTTCCGTGTGCTTGTGACTGTCCCTGTGTGTGTGTGTGTGTGCGTGCGTGCGCGCGCGTGCATGTATATGACGTGTACATGCTTGTGTTTGTGTGCGTCGCGTCGTGCGCCGTGTCTGTGATGTGAACTGTCAGTGTGTTGCGTTGCGTGCGTGGCGTTACTTGTTGTGTGTGTGCATGTATATGTGTGTGTTTGTCGATGTTTATGTGCGTGCGTGTGTATCGCGTGATTGCGTGTGTGTTTGTCTGTATATGTGTGTTCATGTGTGTTTGTGTGCGTGCAGGTCTGTGAACAACAACAGACTGACGCGTGTGGAGGCAGGCAGCCTGGACTCGCTCACCTGCCTGCAATCCCTGCATCTCAACCACAACCGCCTGTCGCAGCTCACAGCTCACGTCTTCCATCGACTCACCAACCTCACTCACCCTGTAAGTATAATCAAATACCTGCGCTGCAATACCTGCGCAATAATTCCTTTCGCTAGACGAAACCTCCATAAAACGGTCTATAAAATACAGTATCGGTGGGTTTTCCGTTTAGTGATCCTTTACATACGGGTTTGACTGTACGTCAGTAGCAAGGCCAGTACATCAGTAGTAGAGACCATGGCATATAGTAGCAGGAGTAAATAATAATATATCTATTATTAAAATAATAATAATAATAATAATAATAATAATAATAATAATAATAATAATAATCTATTATTATTCACTCCTGATAGTAGCTAGTACAGACGTAGGTCTACCGGTGTAGCTCCTTCGCTCCCAGTATACAGACCCTACTTTAGCAACCCTAACCTTAACCCTGCCCACAGTGCAACACTATCGTTAATGTTAGGGTATGGGTTAGGACGTTAGGGTAATGGCTGTGAATGTTGTTAGGGTTAGGATTAGGAGTAGAGTGAGGGTTAAGGTTAGGATTAGAATTGTGTTTATCTAACTTAACCCCTAATCGTAACCCTAGCCTTAGGCGTAGCCTGCCCGACCATCACGCAGGCCTGTAGCATTTACTGTTTAGTGGGACTCTGACATTTTTCGTTTACTATGGACTGAATTATTTGAATTATTATATATATTATTATATATATTATTATTATATTTTTGAACATTTATTATGGACTTTACTATTCGTTTCTTGCTGCTCTGTTTCGTTAGGGATCTGAGTCACAACCGACTAACCGTCATAGAGGGACTCGTGTTTCGCGGACTCACGAATCTTTCGTCACTAAGACTCAAGCGTAACGGCATCACGTCACTGATGGACGGAGCGTTCTGGGGCTCGACTCCATCCAGACGCTGTGAGTACGACGTTGCCATAGTGACTGTCCGTTCGTCTGTCTTCTGATGATGAGACTGTTACCATGGTGATTCATCCCTCGGTTCTTTGTCACCGAGACGCACTATCATGTCTCCATATGCGCTGGTCCCACTCTAAACACCCCAGCTGTTCGAATATTTTCGGTCGAACAATGCATTTCATGCAGCCTGTGTAACTACTATATCTATCTAGCGATCTAGCTATATCTAGCTAGCGATCTAGCTATATCTAGCTAGCGATCTAGCTATATCTAGCTAGATCTAGCTAGCTATCTATCTAGCGATCTAGCTATATCTAGCTAGCGATCTAGCTATATCTAGCTAGCGATCTAGCTATATCTAGCTAGCGATCTAGCTGATATCTAGCTAGCTTATCTAGCTATATCTAGCTAGCGATCTAGCTATATCTAGCTAGCGATCTAGCATATCTAGCTAGCGATCTAGCTATATCTAGCTAGCGATCTAGCTATATCTAGCTAGCGATCTAGCTATATCTAGCTAGCGATCTAGCTATATCTAGCTAGCTGGAGCAGTGCAGTGCTAGGAGTAGCTAACTGCTAACTAGTGAACATATAGCGCTGACTGGCTGGCTGGCTGGCTTGCGTGCATGGTGGTGGCAGTTTTTGCGGAGAGTTAGCATCATAAAGAGTTGTTACAGCCCGGCTGTAGTGTCGGCTGGAATGCAAAACACGGAAACGAAATCTGGAAAGTTCGACGCTGCAAAATATTTTACTAAGCCGTGTAAGGTGAGATAAATAGTGAGAGTTAACGAGAGACGGGGAGGGGGAGGCACCGATAGAGAAGGTAGGTGTAAGGGGGAGGGGTAAGTAAAAGGGAACGGGAGAGAAGGGAAGGGAGGGAGTGTGTGAGAGAGAGCGAGAGAGAGAGAGAGTGTGAGTGTGTATTTGAGAGAGAAAGAGAGAGAGAGGCTAGAGAGAGAAAGAGAGCGTGTGCGCGTGAGAGAGAAAGAGAGAGAGAGAGAGAGAGTGTGTGTGTGTGTGTTCGTGTGTGAGAGCGAGAGAGAGAGAGCGAGAGCGAGAGAGAAAGAGAAAGAAAGAGAGAGAGTAACAGAACCGTATAACTGGCCCTATTTGTACAGAGAGGAAAACCCAACGCTAAGAAAACAAACGCGTCACGGATTGTATTCCTTTTCGGGCGCACTGTTCTTCCCTCGAGGCCCCTCAACAAACCCCACAGCACCATAGACTGCCCCCACCACTCCCGAAACCCTTAACATAACACACGCGCGGTGCGGTCGCGCGTCAGTCTACGCTAGCGTGAGTGACAGATAGCGCCACTGTTTGTGTATCCACTGTATCGCGTTGATCACCTACTTTGTAAATTTGATATTTTCATTTTCTGTTCTCGCGACGGGGCGGAGGGAGGGGAGAGGAGGGGGGAGCACGAGAGAGCCGAGGCCATCGGTCAAGCTGGGACCGATTGCATGGGTCAACAGGTCAACTGTCAGTTCGTTAGGTACTGGTCATCGTTTAGCCACACGTCCTGCACCGAATAGCAGCTTGACTAGGTCGTGCTGCATTGATCGGCAGCTTGAGGGTTTGCATGGGTGACAACATGCATGGAGGGGTGACAGCACCTAGGGAAGGGGTGACAGGGAGCTGGGGCAGGTGACAGGGAGCTGGGGCAGGTGACAGCACCCAGGGAAGGGGTGGCAGCACATTATTATAATTATTATTGTTATTATTATTATTATTATTATTATCATCATCATCATGATTATTACTCTCTTTGTTTCTGCAGGGAGCTTGATCAGAACAATCTGACGGCCGTAACGCGAGGCTGGCTCTTCAAGATGTCTACCCTGCGACAGCTGTAAGTTCAGCGCCACCTGCTGGCAGACCACAGCGCCCTCTGTACATCCATCTATCTATCTATCTCTGGCTGGTGTAGACAGGATCTCTGGCAGCAGATAACAGCGTGTTTGAACGCATTGATTGCGTGTGTGCAACCTTCCCATAATGCTAATGTTTACTGAGCAAACATCTGGCTGGTTGACAAGTTGTATGTTATCCTAGTTTGCTTGTATGTTCTCTCTCTGTAGCGTTGCTAGGTTTTGGCATGCTTGCTAGCTCTCGGTGAGATTAATTTACTGGTGTTGACGATAGGTTATTTACTGTTTCCTTCGTTTGTTACAGACGCCTGAGTCATAACCACATCGCAAGCATTGAACCCACGAGCTGGGAGTACTGCCCTGCACTGTTGCAACTGTAAGTCAGCATACATGGGGAAGGGAAGGGGATTCTTTTCAAGATAAAACGCCCATCTGAGATCACGCATAAGTGCTTTATTGTGTGCTTCAAGCTCTTGGTAAACTGTCATCCTCAGCAAGTCAGTTTAAGTAACTGCTAAGCGTGCGTGCATGCATCACCGAATCGGTGTACATTGCGGGGCGAGCATGTTCCGTTGTTTTGTGTTGTCGCCTAACGTTTGCTTGTTTCGCAGGGACCTGTCGCACAACCGACTGGACAAGGCGCTACCTGCTGGCACGTTTCAGAAGTTGTCACAGCTGAAGCAGTTGTTGCTGAGTGATAACAGGCTGATGGAGATCGAAGATAAAGCATTCAATGGTCTCAACCAGCTGAGAGCTCTGTGAGTACTGAATAGTAGTAGTAGTAGTGGTGGTGGTAAAGTGACTGTTTATTATGTTGATTCTCTCCCCCCTCTCTCCCTCTCTCTCTTTCCCCTCTCTATTTCTCTGCCTCTCTCTCTCTCTCTCTCTGTTTCGCTATGTCTCTCTATCTATCTCTCTCTCTCTCTCTCTCTCTCTTTCTCTCTCTCTCTCTCTCTCTCTCTTTCTCTCTCTCTCTCTCTCTCTCGCTCTCACTCCCCCTCTCTCTTTCTCTCACATACAACATAGTGAATCATCTATCAGTAGCATTACCGAGGGAGTAGGTGAGGTTGGTGAGGGATCACAGACAAGGTATCATCAGGTTTATGACTGAACTAACATATTGTTCACAATAGTAGATCGATCAATATCAGTTTTAATCTCACTCGATCTCTGGCCACCATCTTTACACTGTCTTTCCTGCTTTTATTAGCGACCTGAGCAACAACGCCATCTCTTGGACGGGAGAGGAAGCGAGGAATGTGTTCGCTGGCCTCGGGCGTCTGTCGAGACTCGATCTCCGTGGCAACGAGGTGCGCTCGATTCCGGTCGACCTCTTCACGGGATGCATGCAGCTGAAAAGTCTCGATCTCCGTGGCAACAACATATCGTCGGTTCAGGACAATGCCTTTGGAGAACTTTTCTTCCTGAAGGATTTGTAAGTGATTGATGATGTTCTTCCCTCATACTGCGCGTTCCATATGCCTCCTATATAGGCCATGCGCGTCCTATATAGGCCTATAGTTATCTTGGTTGATTTAGTCATGAGCACGGTTGCTATAAAGCCACTCCTGTAGCGTGAGGTAATGCTTTCTCTTCGGTCATCGCATCGGCTCATCATGTGGAAGGTCGTGGGTTTGACTCCCGGCCGGGTCATACCAAAGACTTGATAAATAGTACACACTGCTTCTCTGCTTAGTACTCAGCAAAAAGAGATAGAGTGTGGAAACGGCACCCGTCAGTAAAAACTGTGAATCTCTTCACTAGCCCACTAGGCCAGTAGCCGAGCAGGGCACCCGAAAATTATTATGATATCGCGTCGGCTGACATTTCTATCCTTTCCCGCGTTCTTCAGCCACATGGACACCGCCAGTCTGCTGTGTGACTGTAACATCAAGTGGCTCCCTCGCTGGGTGACGAGAAGTCGCTTTCAGAAGACGGTGTCCCTGCAGTGCCACCACCCAGCATGGCTGCGAGCCAAGGACCCGATGAAAATCAACGCGAGAGATTTCACGTGCAGTAAGTGTCGACGTGGGATTCGCATGGCATCGCAGCTGCAGATGCAGATGCAGTTGCTTCGGCATGCGTGCAATCCTCCTGCAAGAGCCGTCCATGAAGTTTAATGATTTTTGATAGAGACAACAAGAATATGGACAATATTCGTGGAGTCGATCCGATATCAATGTCGATGATGATATGGGTTTTTGTTTATTTCGTTGCACAGATTTCTTGTGAATTTAAGATGTGTAGTTTACCTGGAGAAGGTTGGAACATCCGAGGATCGTCATTAATTTGTTCTTCTCTCATTAATTTCTTCATTACCGATGCAATTCTCCTGTAGCCGTTGTAGTGCATCATTGTGCAGACAACTGTCTCCCCCTAGTGGCGCACTAACGAGCTGTTCGCTTGTCTTCGCCGCAGGTGGTCATCCGAAGCCGATGATAGTGACTCACCCGGAGACGCTGTCAACGCTGAAGGACAGCAACGTGACCTTGAACTGTCACGCGTCGAGCACCGCCGACCTTCCCATGACCTTCCGCTGGAAAAAGAACGGCAAGGTAGGATGCTCGCGTGTGTGAGACCCTCGCCCGTCTCGTGTCCACGTGACCGCGCTCGCAGTGTCATGTGATCGTCTGCAACATCGTCTGTGATTGGCCGCCCGCCCATCTTTCATCAAACCTCGTGCCTCCCCTCTCTCTGTTTTTCCTGTATCCTTACCGCTCATTTGTTTTTCAACGATTATTGGCTGTTGTTCGAGTTATTGTTACATTTAGTATTATAGTAGGCCTACCAATTATTTATCTTACTGTGCGTAATTCTACTGTTAATTATTCCTCTCTGACGGCCTCTTGTTTTTTTGCAGGCGATCAATGGCAGCAGCGGCTACAGCGTTGTCGCGAATGGTCGCACGTCGGACGACGGCATGGTGACCTTCGTTGGCCGGCTGCGTCTGACCAACGTCCAGGACAGTGACCAGGGCCTGTACCAGTGCTTCGTGACGAATGACCACGACACTGCCTTCTCCCAGAAAGCCTACCTGACCGTCAACGGTGAGTAGTGAGAAGAGATGAGCAGGAGAGCGAAGTTTAGATTACGTTGGTGTTATGGACAGTGGAGCGAATTTTTTTTATTCGTCTCACGACTCCAGAGCTAGACGTTCGTTAGGGTTTTTTTTTGGAGCAGAGATTTGAGAGACGAGTTGTTACCCTGTGCCGTTGGACTGCTAACCCCTAGTTACCCTGCACCTGCAGAGTTTCCCGTGTTCAGGAAGACTCCCGCGGACATCACGGTGTCTTCCTTCCTCCCTCTCTCCCTCCCTCACACTAACCCATCTCTCTCTCTCTCTCCTTTCTTCCACACCAACTATCTCATCTCTTCTCTCTCTCTCTCTCTCTTACACTAACCATCTCTCTCTCTCTCTCTCTCTCTCTCTCTCCACACACTATCTCATCTCTCTCTCTCTCTCTCACATCACTTATCTCATCTCTCTCTCTCTCTCTCTCCCTCACACTAACCCATCTCTCTCTCTCTCTCCCACACACTAACCCATCTCTCTCTCTCTCTCTCGTACAGAGTTTCCTGGTTCACGAAGACACCCGTTGACATCACGGTGAAATGAGCGCGGCAGCAAGGCGCGGCTGGACCCAGTGCGGCGCGCGGCGAACCACGTAAGCCGCAATCGCGTGGCAGCTAAGGACGGACGGTGGCAGCCGACTTCCGGCCGCCAGGGAGCGCCGCATGCCGCCTTCTTCCGCAGGACAGCGGTGTTTATCATCTCAACGTCTGTCGTGCGAGCCGACGGCGGCGCCAGTACTCCTGCATCGCCGCGAACGCCGCGGCATCTACGATCAGCATCAGCTGGAACTAGCTGAAAGCGTGGTGCAGGCGCGCGGCCGCCACCTAGGCCGCCGCGAGAAACCGTCGCCATCGGCGGGACCGTTAAGCCATGGAGTGCCTCACGCGGAGGTAGGTGGCCCGCCATCATGTTGCATCGATTTCTTGCACCGATACACACACTTCGTTTTTTCTAACGGACTCGGACATTTGAGGCCAAAGTTGTTTGTGACTGCTGTTTGAATTAAAATTAAAAATTAAAATCCGAAGTATAGATGCGCATTGTGACCGAGACAAAACTGCGTGAGGCATTCTCTCCCTTACTCGGAGTTTTCCCAACAAACCCATCCCTTCTCGTTGAGCGAGTTCGAGCCAGGTGATCAGTGCAGAAGGACGGGCGGCCGCTTCAGTCGACGCGCGACACTTGGCGAATCACGACAACCAGCTTCTCGTGATCGTGCAAAAGCGCAGCGAGCGACGCTGAGACTACCACGTGCGAGGTCGTCACGCTCTCGCGATCCCGTGCGCCGCGCTCCTGCTGACGTCGTAGAAGGTAAGAGACGGAGAGGGGGAGAGAGAGGAGGAAGAGGGAGGGAGAGAGAGAGAGAGAAGAAGAGATAGCATGAGAGAGAGAGAGGAGAAAGGGCGAGCAGAGAATAAGAGAATAAGAGAGAGGATAGAGAGAGCCGAGAGAGGAGGGACACGGAGAGAGAGGCCGAGGAGAGCAGGAGAGAGAGGCGGAGAGAGACAGGAGAAGAGAGACGAGAGAGAGAGAGGAATGAGAGAGGGGGCAGAGAGACAGAGACGGAGAGTCGGAGAGAGAGGTGAACGGCTCGATCGAAATCCCTGAATAATTGCTCCGTCTAGGAACTCTGTATGCTCATCATGCAGAAATAAAATGATAAATAGAAATTTAGTAAGGAGAGGTCAGCGAGCGTCGGTCGGTCCGGTGATCGATAAGAATCTGTGAGGAGTATGCCGCATGACTCTGTTCTGGGTGATCCTCGCGATGTATCTCGTCAGTCTATCTGTTTGGTTGGAAGCGCTTACAGAGCTCGGAGAAGATGCATGTGTCTGTCGGTAACTCTCACGAATTTCTCCCGTTCGGGCTAAGATCGTAACGGATTTGTTGTTTGCATTTACAAGCATGTACTGCCTATAAATGTATGACTTGCACGTTGTGTCCCAGACGTCGCGTTCGTGAATGACCCTTGTGTTGCTTCTCCCTCTAGCGGAAACGTGGAGCAAGCGGCGCCCCTGCTGCGGCATGATGTTCGGACGTCAACAACGCGATGCGTTGTCATCGTCATCGCCCGGTCTCGGCATGCGTCGTCGGCACCTCCATTCGTCTGGTGCTCGTCATCATCTGCCAGACGCAGAAACGCTCAACCTGTCGCCACAGTCGCTCAGTATGCTGACGGACGCCACCTCGCGGCGGGGGCGCCGTGAATCTGTAATGATGTGCTTAGTCAGTTCAAATATTTCTTCGACGAGAAGAAAAATGGACGTAATATAAAAATTTAGTTAACACGTCAAACAAAACCTCTTTAAAAAAGTTGACCGTCGTTCAAAATATAGTATTTTAAAAAATTTGACCAAGTACACGCTACCACGACGGCGGTCGGTCTGCGGGGCATACGTGAGAAATCTCGGATCGCTCGTCGCATGCGTAGATGGCGCTGCGGCCCAGTGACGGACCTGCCTATATTCGCCGAAGTGTTACATGCGAGGCGCATTACCGGAGCAGGAGTCGTACCAAGTACCCAGCCGACGAAGCGGTTATCGCGTGTGAGAAGAAGCGCCCTGAACCACTGCAACATACAGATAGCACACAAGGTATGCTACCGTATGCATGGCATGCACGGCAAATTCACCTCTAGCAATGTTTTCTATCTCGTCCTGCGACGTTTAGAACGATTCTTGCACAGTGACTAATCTGATGCATAGACACCCTTGTTGTTGCGGGTGCTTCCCACTGTAAGGCTTAGTATCAATCAATCATAATTTGAGTATATTTAACATTTATCAGATTCATAATAATAATTTTAATATAATCGTACGACATCGCGCTTGACATTGTTCAAAAATCTATCCTGTTTACCACTCATCCGCCGACGCGTCCGTTAGCATCGTTCGTCTCATGAGCGATCCCTCGTCTTTCGTCTGCCAGACGGAAGCGTTCAGATCGTCGGGAGGCAGTCGAGCGGCAGCCTCCCGACCGCACGCAATGCGCACCGGCCGCTGTTCGTGCTCGCCGAGACGCGACGGCAGCGCTCAGTTGGCAGCTGCCGGGTTCCGTCGCGGCCGGAGAGCGATCTCTCGCCGTAGACACGATGAGCAGGTGAACCGAGCACGCCACAGTACAGCAGAGCAGTCGGCGGAGCGGCGGCGGCGGCGGACGGAGGCGCGGCTGCGCGGGACAGAGACTTGAGTCTGGCCACGTTTCAAGCCAGACTCACTAGCATGCTGCGGTGCGGATACTGTCTGTAAACGATGTGGGTTGAGTTAGGTGGGCGTACACGTGTGCCGTGGAGTGCGTGAGCATTGATTGAACGAGAACAGCACGGGCAGAAGAAGGTGAAAGACAAAAACATGACGATTCGAAGTCAAAGAAACTATTCGCGATTGAGTTAAGAGGAACGTGGTTAGGTAGGATGGAAAGCCAATTCATAGATATGGGGGAAGCGTACAATCTCTCTCTTTTT